AAAATATTTTTGTAGTAATAATGTACATATCAATACTCGATTAGTATTTAAACAAACACAATTTTTACGAGTTTTTTTTTGTAAGGGAATTCACCGTGATGTTTAACCGAGAAGATAAGAAATATAAAACAGAAAATACGGGTATGTAAAATATGAAGAGTCGAGAAGATTATAATGTTTGAGTTTATTCGTGTATAAACTTAGCTGAGGGTAAACTTATCTCTAACTAGCTGACCCGTGCAACTTCCACTGCGTCTCAAAAGGAATAAATTTTCCTCGTTTCTGCAACAGTATTCATTCATGCACGACAAGAACCTATTGATCGCAGTGTGATGTTATAGCATTCTTCGATAAATGGGCTATCCGAGACTAAAATAATTTTTCAATTCGAACCAGTAGTTTCTGAGATTAACGCGTTCGACAAACTTTATAATATTAGTATAGTTATTAGATAATATCATTTTTATACAAAAAAAAATACTCGTTCTACCACGGTCAGAACATTTTTAATACTGTCAAAAGCTGGCTTCAGGAAATTGTTCTTACATTAAACGCCGACAAGACCAAGTATATTCCGGATTCCATGTCGAAATTAATTATTATAAATTGACTGTTCATTATATCAGTCGTTCTTTTTGTAAGTCCAAATGCAAATTCCCTACAGCGTGCTCAAATAATCAAAAACGATGGATCGTCATTTAATTTCCTCTCAGCATTAGCTCTATAAATGTGCCCAGTAGACTTAGAATTTCCATATTTTTACAAACCACGACTTCGGATACTTCTTAAAAGATATATAGTAGTGCATATACAAAGCTATTACATAGGTAGGTAAACAATATGTAGGTAGGTATCAAATTGTAAAACCCATTTGAGTTGGCGCAAGTATCAAATGGTTTTGATGACACAAATCATTGGTTGTAAGGAAATGAGTAGGTTCACATTAATAACGCAGAATTGGCAAATTCAAGCCGACAGTTTGTAATTGAATCTATGGTGTAGGTAGGTAATTGTATGTGGGATGTGATTGTTGGTTGAAAAAGGCAATATTAATAAAAAAAGAGATTTTCATACATAAGGAAAACTTTACGTATGTACTAGGGATGGAATAAAAGTATAAAACCACAAAAGCCTGTGATAAATCATATGATTAAATATGATCACCACTGCCAATTATTATTATTATAACGCTAGCGCCAGGACTCGCGAAAAGTCTAAAATCTAAGAAAAATGATTGTAATCTTTAATTAAAAGATTTTTGATGGCATTAATCTTTGTCTATGACCTAATCACAATCACAGCTGAAATTCCTGTGACTGAAACCAATCATTTCATCATATGAATATGATAATAAAGTAGCAATAATTGCCATGTCTAGTATTTACTTACCTAGTACTTATTCATTACATCATCATCGTCATTAGACGGGCCTGCTGGTATAATGGTTAATGATCCTGATTGCTAAGCCAGGGGTCGTGGGTTCGATTTCCTTCCAGGACAAAAAAATCTGTGATGAGCACGGTCATTTGTTCCGTGTCTGGATGTAATTTATCTATAATATCTAAATATTTGAAATATCCATATAAGTATGTTTAACAGCAGTCTGGTTATTATAGTGCAGGCTCTGCAAAGTTTGGGATCTCCGTGTGTGAGATTTGTGAGGTTATTATTATTTGAAGCAATGATAGGGGACCCTATCCGTTATTTTAGTTAGATCACCTAGCCCACCTGCGCTATCCGTACAGATTATTATTTTCCAGCCATTTAAGATACGCTTTCCACTGTTATAGATAAGTCGTCCAAGACAAATAATTATAGAGATCATTATCACAGATATAACTGGTAGTTATGTACAACCCGTAGAAAGTCTATGTGGGGCATGACTGCGAAATAATCTTCTAGATTATCTGATGCAATAAATACATAATATAGACATGGACCGGTGCTGGGCCTATAGAATGCGTTGAACCATTAAATCATTTAGAATTTTCGGATGAAATTTATTTTAATTGCAACCTTTTAATACCAGTAGTCCTAATAATCAGAAGTTCGATTTTTTATAATAAAATACTCATATAATCTTTACATACACTTAGTTGATTGTTTCCCAACAATGCAAGGTAGGTACCCTTTGAAGTGTTACATTTTACGACTATGATTCATTTGTAACGTTTGTTGGAGAGTTATATGTGTTCGTTAGTACTTAACGAATAAATAACCCAAGGTTCATGGCGCGGCGGCCTATGCACGCACTGGGCACTACCGATGCACATTATATAGATGTACGTTGTCTCAGCTTTCTCCCAAAACGTGGGCGACGACGCGATCTCATTCATAACCGACCGTGTTTACACCGCGCACACTAGTCTACTGATAATTTCTGATACCGAAACAAAAATAAGGCGACCCGAATCGATGGGAACGTATTGCAATAACGATTGTCTACTTGAGATTACCGCACATTCAAGGTGACCAAGCTATGCAAAGTATAATTTAACTAACTTTACGCACTAAGTTTATGATACTTTAATGTTCCTAACAGACTCAGAAGTTTATTGAAACTATGTTGACATTGAAAACAGTTACGCAAGTAGATGCAACTTTTGCTAACAATATCCAGTGGTACGTTCATAACTCTCAAATGTGTACCTTGTCTTACAACACAACAAAAAGCCGGGCGAATGCCGCATTTAAGACGGTCCCCCTTACCTCTGTCGCTCGAACATATCCTGCGAGGACTACACAAGACAGCCATAGGTATATCCTCAAATGCATCACAGTAATGTGAACCGGACCGGTCGCACCTGCAGTATGACACAATCACACAATATAACACAGCACAAAACAATTTGCTGTTATATTATTTCACTAACACCATACACACGGATCGAAACAGCGCGCGAATCGACATGCGGCGTTGGTTTGCGATAGTAGTAAACTGAGTAGCGCTTGGCACTCGGTTCAGTGCGTTGAGGGCGCGCGCCCCGCACGCGGTACTCTCGCAGCCAACTTCGCTCCTGTGGACCGCGTTCGGTCGTCGCCCGATGGTCGATGGAGCTGTATTTCGCGTCACGCACTCCTACTTATTATTTTGAAGAATAATGGGCTAGTTGTGCACATATAAAGCTGTCTTTCAATTTTATTTTAATCAATGTATTCGATCTAATATGTAGTTTAAATGTCTATCTACCTCGCTCGAATGAGACGCATTCCCATAAATGAACTTGTCTTATTCTAATTTTGGTAACAGGACAGAAATATTATTTGCTAGGGCGACGACCGTCTGTTTAACATTGAAGTTAAAATATATCTTCAAAACAAACAAAGCATGAGTGCGATAGCTCTCTAAATGCGTCTTCCAATATTTATTTCCGTCAACACCATAAAGATAACGAGCAACTAACGACTATTGTACTTAACTACTTAATTAATCCAATTTTTAATTCAATGGGATCTTAGAGTTGACGCTTAATTTTTAACAAAGGCTCACCAAGTAGGTACAACACACAAGACAGAAATCATCAACGTCAGATTTGTGTGTTGTGTGTCTGTGATACTTATTGCTGATAGTAAATAAAACAGCTGGGACCGTAGTATGTAAAATTATCGCTATCTATAACAATTATACGCAAGTTGGATAAAACAAAGAATAAACAATGTTGTTTCAAAAATATAAAAACTCAACAAGTAACAACTGCTAGACACATGTCGCATGTTAATTGATCACAGTTTATATTTTACATATCCTAACTTAAATAGCTGTATATTAATAACTACTATAAAAAAAAAATTTTTTAAATGATGCAAACAGAAAAGTTAAAAAGTTTTAACTTATGGCACTAGATGGTGTTTTCGCAAATCATTTTTAGAACCTTCGCGTTGAAGAAATCCACAGAAATTTACACCATATACGTTACGATGTAAATTTCAAGTCTTTTTAAACCTTTAGTATCATATTTATATGTACTCACACATTTTAGACTATTCAATAACAACTATTTCACATTTAAAAAAGTAAAAATACAACAGATGGCGCTAATCTCAAATCTTACACGAGACAGGCAAATATCCCACAGCATCCTAAGGCCCCGTCTGCACAGCGATATTTTACCGCGCGTTTTTTTTTTCGCAAAATTCTGTGACACATGGGATCTATATAAGACCATCCTCACTATATACACTAGAGGAAAAAAACCGCGCGAAAAATAATCTGTGAATCGATAAAAAATGAACGCGATACGATGGCGATGTACCTATTTCCGCAAAATTAAATATTAAATAGCGGCGGTGAAATAGCCTTAAAGAGCTTTTACTCGACTGCGCCAGAAGAATGGTTATGTGTTTCGGGTGTATGTATGTACATTTCTTTGGGACGCTCTGTGCATTTTGGTAGAGAGGTGTCGTTAAATATATACTTTAAATTAATTGACACTGGGTATATCCATACTTATAAATTACACAAAGACACAGAACAAAGGATCGTTCTCATCACACAATTATTTGTCCTGGGTAGGAATCGAACCCACGACCTCTGGCCTCTTGGCTCTAGCAGACAGCATTACTAGCCACTAGACTAACAAGCCAGTCGACTATGACCATAACCGACATAGACGCGGGTAAAAGCTAGAAGTAGAGTACAGTAGAACAACAATTTGTGCATCACACAAAGTATTGTCCCATGTGAGGATCGAACCCACAACACAGCGCAGTAGGAAGCGATGAGGTGCTCCATACGCCATTTGTGCATTCAAAATGGTAGAAAAATATTACGTACCTAAATAGAGGAGTACGTACTTTACTAACGACTCAAAATATCAGGTCTGAACTGAGTAGGCCGATTCGTGCTTTTTATCCCATATAAGGGCTTGCGAGGTTAATAAAACCCATAAATAAACCCAGATAATATATTTTATGACAAATCTCTACTGACTAAACAAAATAAAAGCCGCATTTTTAATCGTATTAAGGAAACATTTAGATTGTTGACTTTTCACTTAGGTCTATGTTACTTTCTTGGCTTCAAATTCAGACATTTTCTTTTTAGAGCGATTGATGGCGTCTTCAGCGCGCTTGATTGCATCGCGATGATGAGCGATTTCGTCATGCAAATGTTTCTTCATATCTTCAATCTGCTGCTTTTGCTGAAAGTTTAAATGCAGTTTTTAGTATTAAAAACCTTTAGTAATGTAAATAGGCAATTGATAGTAAAAAGTTATATTCAATTATCGCATAATCTAAATCTGTCCCTACGGAACGCTACCACCCTTTTTACTAGAGGAAACCAAAAAAACTCAAGTACCTGGGGTGCTCTCGACTATCACAAGCAATAAAAAATTGCTTGTGCGACATATTATTATTTTTACTAGTGACTTGAAATTCCCGTGACAGGTGTCGGGCACGCCGTTATCGCGGCAGCAAGACCTGTTATGGAGGATTGGCTCAAGAGGCAACATGGAACCGTCTCATACCGGCTGACGCAGGTGATCACCGGGAAAGGAGGCTTCGGAGATCACTTGTGTCTCATCCGCAAGGAGCCAACACCTGAGTGCCAACACTGCGATAGCCGGACCGTGGACACGGCGCTCCACACGCTGGCAGAATGCCCGGCGTAGGTGGAACAGAGGCGTGACCTCGTGGTGGCCATCGCAGTGGAAATTTTCTCGATCGGTAACATGATTGCCGCCATGGTACGGAGCTAGTGTGTAGAACTCCGCCATCTCCTTCTGCGAGTAAGTTATGTTTGCGAAGGAGATGGCGGAGCGGGACCGGGAGAGGTATAGAACTCTCCCTGCCCACCAGGCCCGAGAACGGACGAGACGACTCAGGCACTGGAAGTCGCACAACGACCACCGTCCTACATAAGCGCAGGCCTGGGGGTGACAGGTGATGCCATCTGTCACCCTAGCATAAGCAGGCCGGGATGGATGACAGCACGACGCGCTACTTAGCGCGCACGTCCTTCGGGGGCAAAAAAAAGGAACATCAGAGTTCCAACACAGGAGAGGGTCATCTATAAGCCGTAGATGGCCCGAGGTACTTCGGGGTACCGGGGTACCCTGGTACCCCGAAGTACCTCGAAGTCCCTCGAAGGAAATTCTTTCTAGGGTATACCTGATTTCCCGGCTACTGGTACCTGGAGACGGCGTGCGGTTTTTGTCGGTTCGAGTTCGACATAACCACCCCACTGGGTAGTATCCAAGGGGACTTCTGCACAGGAAAAAAAAGGTGTCTATGGGAAGCGGTAGTCACTTACCATCAGGTGACCCATCTGCTAGTTTGCCCCCTTCCTATATAAAACAAAAAACTCGTAGTGTTTTATTGGTAGAGTTTATTTTGTCAGGGAAAGTCGAATGAAGAGTATGTACAATGCAAGATATCTGATAAATACTATAATGTTTCTACATTCATACCTACTTTATTGATGCATTCAATAAACACATGTAAATAATGAATGATTATCTTAATCTACCTTGTGTACTTTAACTATTTTTATAAATAACAAATTAGTTTCTATTTTAGTAGTACCTGCTCATAGAAGTATGCTTCTTCCCTGCCAGCCTCCATCTTGCCAAACGCACCACCAGCTTCGCGAATAGAGCCACCACCACCGCCACCCCTACCGGCACCGCTACCAGGCTCTCCACTGTACATTCTGAAATCAAGAAAACATTGCAATAAAAATGTTGTCCTAGGTAAGACTATGAACACTCCTCAAAGGACGGTCACGCGTTAACGGTTTCAGAACAACAGAAATAGAGAATTATTAGGTTGGGACTAATCCCACCCACACGCCCACCACTGTAACTCCTGTACACCAGGATCCACAGCAGTGACCCACGAACACACCGAGTTATGACACTCTGAAAGTCCCAGGAATAAATTAAACTGTCTTGGAACCCGCAACGAAATTAATCAGAAGAAAATTCGAGGAGTTGGAAATACAGTAAATCCACTTCCCTCCTTAGCAAAGCGGGAGACAAAATGAAGTAAAATGAGCATACACCCTTTTAAACAGGAAAGCACCACAGCCACAAAATATTACAGGTCCTACGTGAGCTATATTTGATTTCTATAATATGTATGGCAGAATCGCCTAAACGCACGGAAATTCACCCTAGTTGACACAAGATCCCCATAGTATCCCCAAATGTCACCTGCAAGCTATTCAGCATTATATTACGTTCATTATACCAAAGACTACATTCCCAGAGGATATGATGAGCAGTCTGTTCATAGTGAGATTTAGGTGTTGAGCATTGACACAATGGTGACTCGACTAATTTAAATGAATAAAGCTTGCTCTTAAAGTTACCATGACCCGTAAGAAATTGAGCGACACAGTGATCCACCTCAAGCCATGTCCTCGACAACCGTTCGCGATCAGATGGAAAGAATTGGCAAAGATGGCGCCCCTTGGATGATTCATCCCAGCGTTGTTGCCATTCGTCAATGAGGTCATTATAGACATCGGACTGTTGTTGAAGCAATCTTGTAATTTTACCGCGATCCCGCGCGCCCAAAAAATCGCACTCCATGTTTTGTTGTGTTGAATAGTACATGGTTGCACGTCTTTATTAGGTGTGAATTTAAGTAGAATTTACGTTTCGTGCATAAACTTTCAGTCCATTTACAGTCAGATACATATATAGATAATACTTAAAACTGCCCGTGTGGTGACGGATTAAGAATACGGAATGTCACTAACCCTATTCATCCCGTGGGTATCATAAGAGCCGATTAAGGGAGCAAACTACAGAGGACAACAGCACTGCAAAGACAAGGTAAACTTGACACAAACCCTATCCTATACCAACCAGTTTGGCCAGCGTGATATATTAGGCCAAAACTTCTTTTCTAAGGAGAGGCCTATATCCAGCAGTGGCAGCAGCGGACTATTACAAACTGTTGATGATGATGACTTAATATAATGTTTCTTTTGATTAAGTAAAACAAAAATTTAATTTTTGAAGTGCTAACTTCTTTAGGCGCGTTGAGCATTATTGAAAAACCAACAAAAGAATGTATTTTTTGAGATGGGAAAACGATTGAACTCGCAACACTGTTACCGTTTCCGACACCTATGTACATGTATAAGTACTACATATATTTGCCCCGTTTACACGAGAGTTGAGTTTAGGTTGAAATACATTGATATAGTTATAAATTATATTGTTATACATTATATATAGTTATATTATGACATGAATAGGTATATATATATATATATATACCTATTCATGTCGGCACTTTTCAAATCGAAAAAAAAATGTTATAATCAAACATTTTAAAATTTCCTAGTTTTCACTTCTGCCGGCACTCCCGGAGTACCACTGTTTTTTTTTCATGTTTCTGCATTTTCTCTACAATTCCTCTTTTACAGCATACATAACAGCCTGGTAAAATCTTTAGGTTAACGATAGTTTACAAGTCATGTACCCTGTCATGCCTCGCTGTGGCACATTGTGGTTGCAAAAAATAGATAAAAACAATCCTTAAAGCGTGTTGTATAACATCTGAAATTTAAGCTCAATCAGTGCAGAACTTTTGAGTTTTTGAACCAAGTAACATGTTTTAGGGATGGTCGTTTTAGTTGTAGGTAAAAAACAAAGTAACGATAAAAAAAAAGGATGTTCTAAAAAAAATATTGGGCAAAATTTCGGCAACTTAAAAAAAATCTTGTTTTTATTAAAGGTCATTGGACTTTTATGGATTTTTTTAATATCTTATATACGAGTAGGGTCGGTTTTTGAACGGTGAACCAACCAGATACAATGAACCACTGTCATATTGATAAAACTACGATGTTGCCAACTTGACCGATCATGTCAATACGGGACCCGTAGGCGCCCTTTCCCTCTCCCGTAGTGAGCGGGCAACCGCGGCTAGTGTGTGACGTGTGATAGCAGCTTGTTGGTTTCCCGCCGAAAAAACGCAATTGTATTACGTAAGTATTTCGATTTTTGTATTTTTTGTCATTAATAATAAGTATAAAAGTTCTATGATGTCAACGTTGTTATAGTTTTAAAGTCGTCACAAAATAAGAAGCCCCTTTTGACGTTTCTCATTTGACATGCCGCGATAACTTTGTATGAACGTCTATGTAAGAAATTGAAAAATCAAATTAATAATCCTATTTAATTACTATGTTACCCATACACTATCACAACGCGTATCATAAATAAGCGTCAAGTTTAACTTTATATTGAAAAAATGCACTCAAAAACACGAATTCATCTTCTTCTTATTATTATATGGCAAACTGTGCCGATGTCGACAATTCTGCCAATGTCAAGTGCGATGGAAATACGTGGGTTAAGAGAAATACATAAGAAAAAAGGAATTTGCAACCATTAAGTTTTTCCAAAATTAGCAGGTGGACTGCATATGGGTCTTTTGATTGTGGTTAGTACACTGAAACAAACAGACAAATACGAATAAATAAAGTATGTATGTAATATATAAAGAGATAATTAGTAGACAAACACTAATAACCATCACAACATTACATTAGGTACATAGGTCAAAGTTTGATGCCATTGCAGCGGATGAAAAACATCAAGGCTTGTAAAAGTTTTGGGGAGGAAAAGGGTAAGTAGGGATGCAAAGTTAATAGGGATGGGAATTTTTAATTTAGTTAGGTATGAATAAAGGTCTAAGGATGGATTATTTTTACTACAATTAAAGAAGATGTGGTCCAGGTTGCCTTCATCCAGGCCACACTCGCATAGAGACGAGTCCCGTACCCGAATTTTGTTCAAGAAGACAGGTGAGCTGCAGTGGCCAAAACGAAGCCTACATATGGTGGAGACAACTTGTTTGGACACCTTTTTAAAATTAAAAAACCAAGGCTTCGGAGGAATGCGTGGCTGTACTGAAAAATAGTACCGGCCTTTAAATTGTGCGGACCTGTTCCATTCCACCTGCCAGGATGTCCTCAACTCTCTTTGAAGCAGTCTTAGGAGGTCATAGTGATGGTGAACCATATGTTTCTGATCTGCCATTGAGGAAGTAGCAGCACTTCTGGCTAACGGATCTGCACACTCATTGCCCATAATGCCACTATGGCTGGGAACCCATACCAACTGGACCAATTTGTCACTATTGGAGCAACTGAAGAGGCTTTTTTTGATTTCTAAGATCAAGGGGCTATGGAGTTTGCTATAGAATGGATCTTTTAGCAGGGCTTTAAAACAGCTAAGATAATCAGAGAATATAGCAGCCTTATAGATGTTGTGCGATTCAACATATAGGCATGCCTCCAATACCGCGACACACTCGCCCGTAAATACAGAAGACTCTTCTGGACACTTAAACTGCAAAATGATTCTGGAGTTTTGGTAGTACACCGCAGCTCCAGTGTAACTATCGCTTGACAGTTTGGATGCATCTGTAAAAAACCTCTCAAACCCTACCAAGTGGTCAGCCACATAAGCGTTAAAGATGGAAACAGCCGAGGCAGATCCCTTAGGAATTCCCACATCCAAGAACACATTCGGCTTAAAAATAAGTATACCGTATTCAAAGGAAAAAAGAGGAAACTTGTCAAATTTTAGAGTTAAATTCGTAAAGGGAAAGTAGTAGCTAAAGGATTCCTAAATCAATGGAATTTCTTTATGTGCCCAGTACTTAGAGGTATTGCAAGTTATGTCTAAGTCAGTAATTTTTGGGAGAAGAGGGTGGGTCAATTTACAAATAAATTTCAAAACAAAGCATGAAGCAAGCTTCTTAATTTTAGAGGTGGATCTGAGCATTCAGCCTGTAATGCGAAAAAACACGAATTAATCGTTGATAGATATTCCGACAGGACTTTACTACAATGTCATGTCTTTGGGTTGGTTGCCGTAGTGTTGTAACCGTTAAAAAGCCGTTTTATGGCCGGATAAAATAGTTTCTGAAAATCGTTTACAAAAATTACATTAAAAAAGAGATAAATGTGTAATTAGTGTATTATTTAATATTTAAACATATAAAAACAAAATATGATCACATATAGTTATAGCTTTATTTTGATATTTAATATGAATATTGATATTATACTAAATGTTTTGGTTAAAAAACCCGGAGTGGACTCCGGGTATTTTAACCAAATCATTTCATCATGATATTGAAAAAAATAATTCACCCTCATTTTTCTGTCTCAAACGTCATGTCTCATTTTGCAACAGTCACATTTGACAACAGTCCTTAAAAGTCAGTCTATAAAAGAATTATCAAAGCCGTACATAATTTGTTTCCTTTCTCTATGTACCTATATAAAGGTTTGTCTATGACCAAGCGGCACGTGATCCATGCGCGTACCGCGTACTGCGCAGTCTTTCGTTCGACATCTTGCGAAGTTGACTGTGCGCTCGTTTATGTTTGATATTTTTTCTAGACTCGACTTTGCTTTTGGACTGTTTTTATTTACTATCACGTTGACCTTGGCTCTTCTATTCCGGACATTGATTAGACATAGCGATTTGGACTCGATTTTGGTGTTTGTTGTTATATTGTACAAACTCTGTTTCAACATGTCGAAAAGAGGACGTACAATCAACAGCCAATCACGCGAATTGGTTGTGAAGTTAACCGAATACTTCGAGCGCGAATCAGTTAATGGTGGACCATTATTACCCGTAACTCAAGTGCAAGATCGCGTAGCAGAAGCACTTG